CATCTGCTGATTGCAGGTTGTTAATAAGCCTTAATCGAAAACTGATGCTGCCTCCTTCTTCATTTAGTCCAACTTCTTGAATTCGGTGGTATTATTGACTCTGTAGTATTATGTTTTAGTTGCTCAATTATCTTTCCTTTTTGTCTCCTTAACCTAAGGTGCTAAATCACAGGTATATCATTGTTTAGAGCTTGTCGTTAGTCTTTAACTTTTTCAAAGAACCAACTTTTGACTTGTTAAATTTTCTTTCTTGTTTCTTAATTTCCACTTTGATTTCTGGGGCTTCTCCTTCTCCTAGCCTTTTGGGTCAGAAACTTAAACCAAATGAATTGAAGCATTTATTTCGAATAGAAAGCACTGACAGCTGTGAGTGTCCCATGAATCGGGACCGGCTGGAAGGCAGTGAGTTTGGTTGCTGGCTTATCTGTTCCTCACAAATTCTGACGTTTTATTTCCTTGTCGTTCAGTTGGAAGCATTTTTAAATTTCTGTTCTAATTTCCTCCCTCAACCAAAAGTTAATTGGAAATACATTATTTAAATTCATAATTTTGGATCCTTCTAATTACCTTGTTTTTGTCACTTCTAATTTCATTTTGTAGTGAGTGTCTACGGAATCCATTCAGTTTTCATTCTGTATTTGACATTTTGGTTCCGGAATCTCCATTCAAGTCTTCTTTGTAGTTTCCAAAGAGGTTTCTCTGCCAATAAGTCCGTATCTATTTTCCCAATCTGCCCTCTGTAAGTCCTTGAACCTATTTGTAGTAACTCCTTAGGCGCTTGTCAGCCAAGTCCAACATCTGGACTGATTCTGAGTCAGTTTCATTCTTCTTGACTTGCTCACGGTTTCCGGTGTCTTTGCATATTTAGGGTTTGTGTCTGTGAGTGAGAATTACAACCCGACAGAGTAGATGACGGAGCTCAGGTGCTGGTTTCTTTTCTTAACTCTGAGGAACATGTTTTCACCTTAGGATAACCCCTTGGTCCTAGGAAAATGGTCTTCCTCCTGGCGTGGACCTTTGGGGGCTTGCCTGGAAAGTCTGAGGAACATCTATCGCGCCTGTCAGTGGAACGGCACATGCTCTCTCCACTCTCCTCTGCTGTGGGGAGCAGTAGAAACCACTTCCAAGAAGCACTTCCACACTTCCAGCTGCTGCTGCTGGAGCTCTCGGGAGTCTCCGGAGCAGACAGTGGTCCAAGTACCAGTCAAGCATTTGAGAGTCAGGAGCGTCCCCTCTGCCTCCCCGGACTCCTGACCCCTGAAACTGTGGACACCACAGCTTCCCGCTGGCGTCCCAGTCCCTCCATACGAGGTTTTCTTTCTCAAGGACCGAAACCCTTCCATTATCTGCATGCCGATGTCATTTTCTAGGCATCTAGGAACTCTTGTACGTGTTGGGCTGCTAACCAGACGTCAGTAGTTGGACACCGTCTCAGAAACCTACAGGGGCAGTTCCTCGTTACCCCACAGGCTTGCTTTGAGTTGGCATCCACTTGAACACAAGTGAGGTGCTTTTGAAATTCATTTTGTCCCCTTTTCTTTGCGGGGCATAACACAAAGAAAAACACACTATACGTCACCTCAGAACATCCCAGTAAACCCCGTGTGTGTGTGTGTGTGTGTGTGTGTGTGTGTGTGTGTGTGTGTGTGCGCGCGTCCCCACCACCTACCCTCCCTCTTTACCCCCCGCCCCCCTGACTTCATCAGTCTGCAGTCTTTCCCTGTAGTATAGAAACTTTTTTCCTCTCCTTTACAATAATGGTGTCATGAAGAGTGTACCTTTATGAGTTTGCCTAACTTTGCTGCGCATGTCTGAGCTGTGTCCACGTCTCGAGGCGTCTGACAGCCCATCCTGGTTTTCAGGGATTTGTCCATCCCTCACACTCCGGGTTTGGGGATGTTTCTGTCTTTTGCTGTCATAGAAATTGCTGTGATACGTGGGCTCTTTTGTTTTTAAAAAGTATTTCTGGGGGCTGTCCTTTGCTCCAGGAACCCAGCAGCATAACAGCTCAGGGCTCAGCCATCAGCAGAGAGGCTGGTGGTTCTAACCCGCCCAGGAATCCGCCAGTCTGCTCACAGAGACCCAAAGTAGCCCAGAAACCAAGCTCACCGCCAGTGAGGGGATTCCGACTCACAGCAAACTGATGGGACAGGGCAGAACTGCCCCTGCAAGTTTCTGAGATGGTAACTCTGTACAGGCATAGAAAGCCTCGAATTTCTCCCATGTGGCAGGCAGGCTGATCTGAGACTGGTGGCTTTGAACTGCTGACCTTGTAGTTAGCAGCCTAACACGTAACTAACCACTCCTATACCACCAGGGCTCCTGACCTAGAGGCCACCACCCAGAAACCCTATCATGAAGTGCCAAGGACGCTACCCCCATGCCAAACCTCTTTGTTCCTGCCAGGTCACTCTGGCTTCATTTACCAGACAGAAAGAGCACGAACACACACACACACACACACACACACCCACACACACACCCACACACACACCCACACCCACACACACCCCCACACACACACCCACACACCCATCCCCACCCCCAGAAGGATATTAAGTGCCTTCAAGATCTCCATATGAGCAGCAGACTGTGTCTGTTCAGAGCCTGCACTCTGGAGCTAGATTTGGGGTCCAAATCCCTGTTTTGCTTCTTAGCGATTGTGTGAACTCGAGCCACCACATAAATTCCGTGCCTCGGTGTCCCCTCCCATAAAGCGGCAGTGACGGCTCTGAGGTCACAGGCTTGTAAGAGTGTTGGGGTGTTTTAAGCATTGCAGCCGAGGCAGGGGACACCATCCTTCAGATTCTCTTGACTCTAAAGGCAAGCCCCAAGAAGTTCCAGCCGGTTTGGCTGTGGAATCCAGGAGCATCGTAGCATGAGGAGGTCTCTGCCAAGGTCAGTTACCTGATGGAGGGAGTGAGATCGCCGAGTAGTCAAGCCGTGGCCTGGGCGGGCTGCTTATTAAGCAGCCGCGGCTCTGCTGCCCCGACAACAGAGGCCAGGCCCGGGGCACTCAGCTCTGTGCCACCTTCCTCTCTCCAGGTGGAGCTCGAGCCTGTGACGGGAGCGTCGGGCCTGAGCAGCATCACCAGCTGCCGCTGATCTTTAACCTGGACGAGGACGCGGCTGAAGGTGTGCCCCTGGACAGAGCTGGTGCCGAGTACCAGGCAGTGCTGCCCCAGGTCAGAAGGGCCCTCGCAGATGTTCTTCAGGACATTGCTGACGACAATGTCTCCAGAGCTGATTACACCCAGGACCCTTCAGCCACGCCCTGCTGTGACCCAGACCAAGCTGCCTGCCGGTGCCAAGCCCCCCCACAGACCTTCCTCTCCCACCAGGAGGCCTGGCGGGATGGTTGATGGGCTGGCATGTTGCCAAGCTTCCGTTTTACCCTCTGTGGTTGTACCACCCATCTGCCAGCTTGTCCGGTGGCTTGTGGGTCCAGCAGAGCTTCCTAAGGTCAACTAGGAAGAAAGGCCTGACCTTCTGAACATTAGCCCAGGAAAACCCCATGGATCCCAAGGTTTCGCTGTAGTGCTAGGAGTTGGGGACCGCTTTAGTAGCCAGATTCTAGTCCTGATACTAACTCTAATCCACGACCCCTGGGCATCTACCAGCAGTCACCCAGGCTTTAAACGCATGGCTCTGGATCTGGCTGTGGCACCACACCCTGCATATCCCCACCAACCCTTTTCCCGAGGCCAGCTGGCCCGGAGCCATTAGCATCCTATGTCTGCAGCCTCACTGGCCAGTGCAGTGCTGGTTCCGGCCAGCTGCTGTCTTTCATAAGCCCACAGGTCTCTGCATCTGGGACAGGGCTCCAGCAGGCTGGTGCGGGGCGGGGGGTTGCCGAGAAGGGTGTTCTGAGTAGCGGCCACCTAGGTATACAGAGCTAGAGCTGGGTCTAGAAGGTCCTGGGAGATGAGCCCTGGCACTGGGAGGTTCTCAGAACACACCGCAGCCACAGTGGGCTTGAACATACCACCGACTGGGAAGACAGTGCAGGACCGGCCAGCGTCATGCTGTTGTGGTGGGGGCACTGTGAGCCCCCTGGTCTGACTACAAGGAGGCTGGGTCTTGGTCTCAGAGAAGATGAGGTGACTCACAAGTCCAGCCCCCCTCCCCCATGTCTGCAAGGGAAAGATTTTTGAAGTTCACCTTCCCCTTAAGCCTCCAAAGAAGTCACAACATAAAAGAACGGGTTGAGCACTCCCAGATGCGCTGCCATGACTTTATTATTAGTGTCCTAAGTGGGACGCAAAGGTAATACACGGTTTATTCCAGTCACTGCAAAAATACTTGGCCTGGTTAAAATAGTCTCTCTTTATATGCGCAGTCATGTACAAGAATATGATTCAAAGATGTTTCCCTAGAAGTACATTTTTACACAGCAGACTTAAAAAGGATGTCCTGTCATATAAAATCCTGGTCAGGGACCCACATGACTTGTATGGTTTTAACATGTCTGGGGTAGTGTCAGGTGTGCATGGCATCTTGCACATCCACCTGTCCTGAGGGTGGGCAGTGGCGCCCCTCGGGGCCAGCCCCCCTTTCCGCTCACCGTTCTTCCACCATGTTCTCTCCAAAACCCCCCGACAGGGCGTCCTGCTCCCTGGGATCTGCTGCTGCTCATGAATGCTTCGCTTTGCCCTTCTGACTTCCGCGGCACAAGATTATCTACCAAAATCAAACAGAACGCACGGCCTTACTCTCGCTATGAAGCAGCTGTGGGTCAGCAGCTCGGTCCCCCTCAGGGTAAGTGGGGAGAGGCTGGGCGCCACGTGGCTGGTCCATCACACCACAGCATTCTTCCTTAGCTTACTGGGGGTAGCTGGGCCTGGCAGTTTCAGAAAATACGTGTGCGCATGCGTGTGTATGCAGACACGTTATGTGTGGGCTCACCAGACGTGTAAATGCAGACTGCACACTCAGTGTTAACAAAGTCAGGCAATGCTCTTGGCCCCCAGATTGAGATGGTGCTCAGCACACAGCGCCCTCTGCCTGAATCTAAGGGACCCGAAGGGATGGACTCTCATCTGTGCATCCCAAGGGGTCGCAGAGATCAGACCCAGGAACCTGTCGGTGGGTCTCTAACTGATGGCTGTGGTAACGCCACCGTGGTGGCACGGTGGTTGAAGCACTCCATGCCAAGACGAAAAGTCAGCAGCTAGACTCGCCCCACCCCCACCCCCCACCCCCTCTGTGGGACAGAAAAGGCCTGGTGACCATAAAGACAATAACCTGCAGGTGGGCTGTCCTGTCCTGCAGGGTCACTGGGGGTCAAATTGACTCAAGGACTCAGGGTAGCTTGGTCACCTGGATTAGTCACCCAGGCTCCTAAAGGCCGTGGCACGGCCCTGGGGCCATGTTTCTGCGCAGTGGCCCCAGGGCCTTCCAGTGACCCAGGTGGTTTTCCAGGCTGTGGCTCAGGATGTGATTTTGGCCGTAACACTTGCAATAATTTGGCAGGGCTTCCGCAGACGGATGGAAGGGCGTGTTTTAGTATCTCAGGTATAGTGCACAGGCCGGGGTGTCCACGTGGAGAACATCCGGGTCGTGCCAGCACTCTGTGTGTGCAGGTACAGAGGGAGCACTACTTCGTACACCCCCCCTACCCCGAGGCAGCGCTGGGGGCTTCCTGTCCTGCTGACAAAAAAAGGACTCCTCCACACAGCCAGCTCCAAGCTCCATGCCCAGGGGTGGCCCAGCCCTTGCTAACATGTCACTCCCTTTCTGGAGTCGCCAGTGGTGCACATGGTTCCATCTGAGACCGAGAGGCTGGAGGTGCAATCCCATGCAGGGGCACCAAGGAGAAAAAACCTGACAATCTACTTCCGAAAAGTCCCAGCCTTCAAACCCCAGGGGGGCAGGGGCGGTGGCGTGTGTGCGCTGGGGGGGAGGGGGGTATGGGGGGGGCAAGAAGGGGGTGCAGCCCCGCCCTACCCCATCCACCAGGGCTGCTGAGAGTCGGCAACTACCTAGTGGCAGTTTGTGCCTTTTGAGTTAAAAGCCACCATGGGGGGGGTGGGAGGTTCGGGGGGCGGGACAAGTGATATCCACCAGATTCCCGGCCGTGTGCAGCACCCCCAGACACCTGGTTTACCGGATGCCTGCTCTTTTACATGGGATTTCTTTGGCAAGAACCCACCTTGTGAATAGCAGTAGCCAGAGCACCCCATTCTGCTAATGTACGAGAAGGTGAGGTTTGCTCAGATGGCAGTTGAGAATATAATTCAATAGTTGAATTCTCGCTCACAGCAATCAGCCACGCTGAAAAGGGGGCGTGGGATGACGTGTGGAGACGCTCAGCTGGCTGAAATCCTCCCACTGGCCAATGCGCCTTGGGGCAGCCACCAACTCTAGGAGCCTCAAGGAAGGCCCTTTTTCTGTGTAGTTGGGGCCCTTAGCACCCAAGGGCAAAACTGGTCTATGACCGGGCTGCCGGCCAACACACACTTGGTCATCATCTCCAGGGATGTTCAGGGGCCATTGGGCCCACCACGGAAAACTCAACCTCACCTGTTGGCAGAGCATTCTGCAGCCTGTCCCTGAGAAGCCAGAAATCAGACTCTTAGCCTCAGGAGAGGCCAGGAGGGAGATCTCCTCCAACCCTGCACAAAGGGCAGCTTACAGAGCAGGGGTCCCTCACACCAGCATTTTTAGCCAAACTAGCTGACCAGCCTGCTCATGGGCCCGCAGGAGAACGAGCCAGTTGGCCTGCCATCTTTCTGCAGACGGCCTCTCCCGGCCACGCAGGAATGATGAGAAAGCACCAGGCGCCATCCCTGCTGCTGGCCCGGGAACTCAGCCCAGCGGGGTCTGCATGCTCAAGGCCTGCCTGCAGCCCGCCTCCTGGGTGGTTTCTAGCTGAAGCTCATGGGTGGGCAGGGCCTCTCGGGGCTCAGAAGGGACCTGGAAGACTCAAGCGAGCATGGCTAGCAGCCAGCCCATGTGCCCTGGGAGCTCAGGCCTGCACCTCGGGGCAGATCACTGTGCATGCGTGTGCAAGTGTGTGCGTGCATGGGATCAAGAGTGGGGCACCTAGAGGGCCCCGCACCCTTAGGAAGCCGAGATCCACCAGAGGTGCGTTTCTACCCGAGGAGCCGCAGGGTGGTTCTAGAGAAGCACAGGGAGACTCAGGCCAGCCTGGGCAGCCCAGGCTAGCATGGCACCTAGGGCTCGTTGGCAAGGCCTGGGGGCATGGGCAACCTTACAATCGGCCTCCCGCGGCTCCGGTTAGCCACAGAGTACGAGCACACACGCACCGCACAGCAGGGCCTCCTGTACTCGGGGGAAGGCTGGCTCCTAAGAATGACTAATGCTCACAGGGGGGAACTCATTCTCGTCCTCCAAACACACTGGTCCCGTTGCAAACTCGTGCTCAGGAATGACTTCTCCTCGGAGCGCCCCGCCGTCCTCAGAATAACCTGGAAACCAAGGGGGAGAGACACCCACCAGAAATGAGAGGAGCCCCTCGGGGGAGAGGAGGATTAGGGGAAGCTGTGCCTATCTCACCACAAGGCCTCTGGGCAGTGGTCGGGCCACTCTTATGATCGTCCCCTGCCTAAACCAGCCCACCTCTGCCATGCCCCTGGAGGCTGGGTCAACCGTGCCGTGTCTGCCATCTTTGAGGGCCTGAGCTTAGAGTGTTACCGCGGCCTGTGCTCAACTGTGTACTAAGGTCTGGTGGTTCAAGTCCCCCAGTGGGACTGCCAAGAAAAGGCTCCCACGCTCAAAGGGTTTGCCCAGTGCTGATTCTGTCGCGGTGGGGGGTGTCGACTCCAACTCGCAGCGAGCAGTGCCCGGAGCAGAACTGCCCCCGAGGGTTTCCAAGGCTGCAGACCTTGGCTGAAGAAGCCCGCAGCTACATCTTTCTCTCGAGGAGTGGCTGGGCTTTAACCATGGTGTTCCTAGGGCCCCTACCTCGATGGCTTTTTGTGTCTTCTGGACCCTGGCCTTGCCTGTGAGGGGTCAGGGTCAGACAGAAAAGCATTCCCCCTGGGGGGTCGGCCAGGGCAGGGGGCACCCTACCTCCACTCACCTGGCATGGTGGAGGCCAAACACATGCTGGGTCTGGCTACAGTGGCTGCGTAAGACTGAGGGAATGAAGGCCTGAGGTCATTTTCTTTATTCTCTTCCGATGTTTCTGAGCTGAGCAAGCTGATTGCAGCAGTTAGGGTGGGGGAGGGATGGAGAAAAAAAAACAAAAGCATAGCACATCCTCAGAAGAACTCACACCAGGAAGCACTGGTGTGGCCACTGACATTTCAATGACAGACACACACACCTCCCCAGGACATGAGTCCGGAATGAGCCCAAGGGACCTTCTGTGGCTGGGGCAAGTGCTTGGCTGCAAGCTGATCTCCGTCTCTGAGCGCACAGTTTGGTCCCCAGGGGCACTCAGCCAGGACACTGGGGCACACTGACATGGGGCAGTGTATGGTGTCCTGTCCACAGCAAGAATGGCCACCGTGCACTTGGTCATGAGTCACAAGTGTGTCTCGGCACAGTTCAGTCACTGTTCCGAGCGCTTGTGGGGCACTGGGGCTGTGCTAGGAGCCAGGCTGTGCGGGGAGACCTGGCAACAGGAAGTGTTACTTCTCGTGGACTCTGCCACCTGACCTAGGCCCATCACAGAGCAGACGCCTTCCAGGGTGTGCCCCGAAGATGCTAGACCTGTCATCGTTCCCAGCCCAGGGACCCCTCCACACAGTTTGTGCCTGGAAGCCTGTCTAGACTCAAGTACCCTCACCTGTGGGTCTTGATGAGGACGCACTCCCCGCCGTCCTGGGGGTCCAGGTTGTAGATGTGAAGGCGTCCATCGGAGGAGGCAACCAGCAGTCTCGGCAGTTTCTGGATCCTAAGAGCAATGTGCACTGTGGTCACAAGATAGTGGCAGGCTGGTTTCAGCCACGCTCTGCTCACCCTTGTCACCAGCTTGTCTGCCACAACACGCCCTGAGCCCCCGGCCCGAGTCTTGAGGTCGGCTGCAGCAGTCGGCCTCACAGTTACATCTCCCTAGGAACCTAACTGCAGTGTCTGCAGACGCTTGCTCTTTAGGAAGCTATACCAGCTAACGCATTGCTCTGCCCATGTGACGTGCCCTTCTTGTGTTCTGGGAAATCCCTGGGTGGCACAAATAGTGGGTGGGCACGCTTGGCTGCCAACCAAAAGGTTGGAGGTTCAAATTTTCCTGGGGCACTGCTGAAGAAAGGCCTGATGGTCTATGTCTGAAAAGTCAGCCATGGAAGCCCTAAGTGGTACTGTTCACTCTGAACGTGTGTATGTGGGCGTGGATGCGTGTGGTGGTGGTGGGGGGGGGCAGGCCCAAGGGCCAAAATCTTCTCAATAGAAACTAGTTTTATCTCCCTACCACCTCTGCCTTCAAAAGGGGCCAACCACCATGGAGACCCTATAGGACAGGGTACAACAGCCCGGTGAGTTTCCCAGACTAACTCTGACTCTGGTGGCTTCAACTGCTGACTGCTGACCTTCCTCAATTGACCTTACTGCTGATCTGGTTCCATAAACATCCCAGAGCCACATAAATGAACTGAAATTTGTTCTCAGGCAGATCTGGGCTATGGTCTTATTTTCAGAGGGGGGAGAAAAATGACTCGATGCCCCTGGCATTGAGAAGCACTTGTACCCTAGCCTGTCCGTCATCCAGGGTAACGTGCTGGTACAGGCTCCTATAGTCCCCCACCCATTCTGGGCCCCACAGGGGTCACTGTCACCCACTTTGGGAAACACTGATGTAGACCACGGAACTAGGGACTTCTGTCATCATGAGGTACATGCAGGATCAAGACTGAGCCCAGGTGTGTACCCTCACTGCCTCCATCAGCCTGTGCTGTGGGCTCAGGACCCTGTGGCCGTAACCTGGGGTCCAGGCCTGCTTCCTGATGCACGGCAGGCAGTAGTGGCAGAGGGGAGGGGCAGACTTGGCTCTGCTTGGCCATGGTCTGTCTGTCTCTCGTGCACAGTTTCTGCTTTTTTTAAGGGGTCAGAGTGGTAGTGCATACATACGTGGCCAGGGTGCAGATGTTTCCCTGGCCCGAGAAGCTCAGACGCCCAGTGGCGAAGGCCCGGTCCTGGTTCATCATGTCTGACACTTGGGAGGGGAGGTAGTTGGTTGCCGCCATGAACACCCTGCCCACGTAGCCGGTCCAGCTGCCAGGCTCTTCCGGGCGGCTGTGGGGGAAGGGACAGGAAAGGTGGCACCTCCATTCCATGCCAGCCGTGCTCAATGCTTCAGGGAGGAAGCACGCATTGGTGTAACAACCTGCCCACCTACAGCAACTGGGCAATGTTCTGGCAGCCCCAGGGTCTATGCCCACCTGCTCCAGGGGGACCATCCAGTGATCAGTCTGATTCCAGGATGGCCGAGCAGAGTGGCCCGTCTGGAAGTCTCCTGAGCCAGACCAAATGGGAGGTGAGCCTCTAGGCAGGGTGCCCAGTAGGGGTGGGGATTCATTACAGTCCCCAGCCACCAGGTCCCCTACGAGTGAAAGTAATGCAGAGGGACCAGGCACGCCCCTTGTAGCCATCACGTTGCATCCCAGGCCTCCCCTAGACAAAGGGGTTGCCGGCCTGAGGGGGGCAGACAGTACATGGAAAATTGGGGCTGCTATGGCCACTGCTGATTTCCTGTAGAAACCAGACCCTGGCAGGGGACACGCCCAGCTCTTGGGGCTGACTTCTGCTCCTCCTGCGCTGGGAGGGTCTCTGGAAATCCTTGCTAGGTCTCACCATTCCCACAAACCCTGTTGGGCATCTGATTTTGGTCTCCGGTGCTCAGCCTGCTGCAGCTCCGTGGTCCCAGAGCTCTGTGCTAAGGATGGGGGTCAGCAGAGAAGCCCTCCCCCCCACTCCCAGGAGCCCAGACATGCAAACAGCAGCCCATGGCGCCGCCCCACACTGTGACCGAGCCCATTTTACAGACGAGAAAACTGAGGCGAAGCCAAGCTGAATTAGGGGCAGGGGCAGCTGCGGGTTCAGGCCGTGCCCTGGCTTTTGTGTACTGTGGCACATGGGTTTTGCTGATGCCTCCTCACCGCTTTGTGGAAACTAATCACACGAAGCCATGCTCGTGGCGCTCAAGAAGGAAGGTGTGCCCCGGCTGGCAGCGGGCAGTGGCACAGGTGCCGAGGCCTGGCCCTACTTGCCTGTCGGTGAGGTGCTCCAGCTTGAAGATGTGCACGGTCTCAGTGTTGCTGGAAGTGCAGAGGAACTGGGAGTCCATGCTGAAGACCAGCGAGCTGATGTTCACGTACCTAGTACAGCCATGGGGTGAGGGGAAGTGAGCCCGGCCCGGGGCTCGAGGGTGGGGTGGGCTGGATATGGAGACCCCTCTCTCCTGAGGCCTGCCCTTCCACTGCATGCTACTCCTACTCAGAAATGACCCCCAGGGGGCACCCCAGGGCAGGATCACGCTCCAGAGGGAAGGGCACGAGTCCTTCCTCTTGGGCCGTGAGCGGGAATGTCTGCCCCTCACTGTCATCTTGGAACTCTCCCAGCAACTAGCCCTACAGCTGAGAAGACCCCAAACCATCACATTAGATTGTTGGCTGCTGCAGGCACCACAGAAAGCGATGCTGACGGTCCCTCGCCATCCCCGGGATGGGCTGTCAACTGGGCCTTCATAACCCAGTGCGCTCACGGCTGGCTTCCAGCAGGGCTCCAGGCTTTTTATCCTCACTGTCTTTGTCTGGAAGCTCCCCAGCCACACACCAGCCTCCACCCACTGAGGGATGAGGGGGGCTGTACGTGAGGTGCACTGCCTGGGAACTGAAGCTGGGCCTCACGGACCCACTCCACAGCACCCTTTGACCCCATGCAAGGGAATCGGAAATTCTTTTTGGAATCTGACCTCTTTCTCGTTTCTCCTTGGCTGGCCACTTGTGCCCAACCCTACAAAGAGCTCTGATGGCTGAGACCCCATGGAAAAGGCACCTATGCCCTCGGTGGTACAGGTGCCCGAGCAGCAGAGGAGCCCTGGTGGTGCAGCGGCTAAGCACTCAGCTACCAAGGGCAAAGTCAGCTGCTCTAAGCGGGCGGGGGCGGGGCATCTGCTTCCCTGGAGACTTGACAGCCAGCCAGCCATGGAAACCTCAGGTAGGGGGCTCCCCTCCGTCCTACTGGGTGTCTGGGAGTCAGATCGACTCAGAGGTGATGGGTATGTGCCAATTACCTGAGAAAGTACAGTTATACTTCCTCGAGGCAAAAGGAGACCGGGCCAGCCCCCCTCCGCCCTCCCCCTGGGTGACCATCAGCTGTCCACGGCAGAGCTCTGGGGGTTGCTCAGAGCAGCTTTGACAAGAACACACCTTTTCATCCCCCTCCGGAACTCAAAGAGCTTCTGCCCGTCTGGGACTGAGAACACTCGGATGACGGTGCCCTGTGGAGAGGGGCCATTTCAGAGCAGGGATCACGGGTGCCGGGAGAAGTGGGTGGGTTTGGGTTCTCAACACCGGTCTCAGGAAGAAGCTGCGGTGTCCAGCGTGTGTGTGGATGTTTCTCTGTGTGCATGCATGTGGGTGTGTACGAACATTTGTGCATGTGTGTGCGCACGGATGTGGGTGTGTGCTTTTGCATGTGTGTGGAGGGGGGTTTCCTTGTGTAGGCACCATGTAAGAGGCTCTTGGCCTCCCTCCTCCCTCCAAAGCTGCATGCACATGTATTTGTGTGTGTGTGCGCGCCCTCCAATGTAGACAATCTCCTCTCAGCCAGCTAAACTCTACACCTGATCTTTAGGTATGAAAGGCCACGAGGCCAGTCAGGCGAGATGCCTCCCTCCTGCCCAGCAACCGGACACCCCACTTACACGCTGCTCTTGAAGTCCCTGTGGCCATGTGCGCGCTCACCCCCAACCCCACCCCCTTCCACCCGCAGCTTCACAAGAGCACCCATACCTGTATAGTCTCTGGCAGCCTCCGGCTCAGCGCAGGGGAGGCCTGTGTGTGCTGGGCTAGAAGGGCCAGGCAGACCTCAAAGCCCTTGGCTCATCAGCTGGCCCCCAAAGTACCCGAGGGGAGGGCAGGGCAGGGCGGAGGACTCACGCTCACCTTCTGGGATGCGCTGGCCAGCTTGGAACCGGAGGGGTTGAAGGCGAGGGCAGCCAGCGCCCCCTCGTGGGCGGCAATGGTGCACACTGTCTTCTGTTGGGGGGAAAGGACAAGGATGTGGGGGACGCCCCTACCACCCCCCTCGCCCAGGAAGAAGGGAGCGGAGTCCTCCCTCCCTCTTCATTTCCTGGGAGACACCCTCTCTTCCTGGCTGGGCTCCCTGTCTCTCCCTCTGCACTGGCCCTCCTGGTCTGTTGCTCAGGGCCACAGCCTTCCTCCCCTGCTGCCCGCCCTCATGGAGGCTGTCCCCACCTGTGCTGGGGCACACAGGAGGTCTCAGGGGTTACAGGTTGCCCCCCATGTGTTCCGAGAATTCCCTCAGCCCACCTGTGAGCCAGGGTGTACGTACGTACACACACACACGGTGCAGAGGGCCCAAGCGTTCCCCACCCCTAGTGCACCCCACCCCAGCAGTGCTGCCCACCCTGGGAGACCAAAGCTAGGAAGTGTGAAGTAGTTGCCTGACTAGGCTAGGTGCTGTGATCAATCACAGCTGGCTGCTAAGCAGGGCCCTGAGCAAACCCCATTCACAAGCTGTCAGCCCAGGTCTCCACCCCAGCCATAATGTGGGCACTGTCACCACGCAGCCTGGGCTTACCAGGGTGCTGCCATCGTAGAGGGCGATCTCCCCTGTTGTCTGGCTTCCCGGGTAGGCCAGGTAGGAATTGGAATGGTTGATGGAGAGGGCGCAGACACCTGGCAAAGCAAGCACAGGTGAAGCTCCCAGACAGGGCACCTGAAAATGGTGCCGCGGCAGCACCACCTACTGGTGAGGGAGGAACAGCTTCTAGGTCAGGGCGTCAGGAGAGGATGCTCATCAAAGGGTCTCAGTGAGGTCCCACACAACACACAAGCAATCACAACTCAGAAGCATGAAAACGTTCTTCTAGGGCTTCTCATTCATGGCCAGGAGAGGCAATTCCACTGTCCAGAGGGCAGTGTCTGCCAGCCTTCCTGCATGTGACTAAATAGAGTTAACCAGACATTTTAAACTGGACAACGGCAAAGGCCTCCCCAGAACAGAAACTGATGGACACGAAGCCAACTTGTGAAAATACAGTTTAAGAAAAGATAGATGCCTGCCCCTGAGGGGGACGAACAACAGAA